TTAAACATTTGCAAACCTAAACAGCGTACAGTATTTTTACAGTCTTTATTTTACAGTTAAAATAAATGTTTATCAAATAAAGTCTAACGTTACAACTAATCAGGGATCCCTTTAACAGGAAATGAGAAAATAAGACAAGCGTACCAAACAATGAAACAGTCTGAAAAATACTAACAAAAAGATCTATAAAACAAGAATCATGACAAAAACTCAATTCTAATATATACTGAAGGACATGGGGCTGGAAAAAATTGAGTCAAACTTTCTGCAGCTTATTCTCCCACATTTTGTGGTCAAGAGTTTCAAATTGTAAGCGAGTAAACAGATTCTTTGTCTGAGTCAGGCACCAACAACCCTCACAGTGTTGGCTCGACTCCCTCCTTTCCTGTTGAACATCAGTGGAAAAAGCACCACACGGGTGGAGGAGAGACGTTGGGGACGGGGGAGTTTGACTGTAAAAAGCTCCTCTGTCCAGGTTTTGGCCTGTGGTCAGGCAGCAGCAGCAGAGACGTGTTAGACCAGGTAAACAAGGCCAGACACACTTTACAAACTCCACTGAGCCGCCAAAAACCTCCCCGAGTGTCATTCCGAGCTGTAAATCAGGTAAAAAAAAAAAACAGCTTTGCACGGGCTTTGCTCGAGGACTTTAAACTGTAGCTGGGAGATAAAAGAGGAACTTTGGCACAGGACATATAAAGTGAAGGAAGGACAGGACGGTGAGGAGAGACCAGACTGAGACCATGGCCACGTGGAAAACTCTGGGAGCTCTGCTGCTCATACTTCACACTGGTGAGAAAAGCTTCTTACACTTCAAATAAAGTCAACTTGGATTTGGGCAACGTCACGTTTACACCCTCAATAGTTTTTTTATTAAATGGCTTATTTTATGACTTACATAAGACAGCTTTGAGTTTACAGACCTTTTTTTCAGCAGAAAATATTCACAAGTAAAATAAATGTAAATGAAAAATGTAGTTTTTTTCAGCTAATTAAGTAAACTATTAAGATGTGAAAAGAAAATTTTGTAATCAAGTGTTCAGATCAAAACAGAAAATAAAGCAAATGAGAGTTCATTTTATTTTGAAAAGAAAAGCACAATCTGCTTGAGTTGACCGTGACATAAGTCACTAAAAGCAGATTGCCTATCACTAAATCCCATAAAAGTAAGTTATCAGAATATATCTGAATCAACCTAAAATAATAAAACGTGTAATGCATCAGTGATAAACCGAATAAATTTTCTTCAATATATTTTTATTTATTTGTTTCATTCATTTAAAAAATATATAGAAGTCCATTCAAGAAATCAATTTTAGAATGAAATGGGTGCAGAAGTAAAATAAATTCTTACATCTGCCCCTTCAAGATTTAAAACAAATTTAACAAAATGATGTTTTTGATAAAGAAAAATGGCAAATTTTACTGAATTTATTTTAACAAAATAGTTTTTGACTTTACATGAAGCCACTAAGAAAAACTAAATGTGGAAATTGTTATTATTTTCAAGAAAACTGTGATGATTTGTAATTAATTCATTTTGGGAAACTTCCATGATGAGTCCTAAAAGGCAAAACTTTAGGTTTACCACTGGGGGAGTATGTTCTGCCCATTTATCTATTTATTTATTTGTTGAATCATCCGTGTGCATTGCCAATGCAATGCATACTGTTGTGATTCATTTCCCATCCAAGTTATCTCCACTTTGGCATGCTTCTCCTCCTGCATACTTTGTCCTAGAGCTGCCATTCTAATTTATATCTGTAAAGCTCCTGTGCCAAATGATGGCTATGCCTTTTGGTGCCTGTACAATTTTAAGTTTTTGAAATATTAATGTTTAATAATTTATAATGGGAGTCAATAGAGCCTTGTATTGGTCCACTACTGCCCCCTGTTGTATCTACTCAGTACTGAACCATAGTTGAATAATATTTGATCTCAATAGTTCAGTGTTTACAATACTAATATGATTGTATTTTGATGTTTTACTATAATGTTGACTTAATACTGCTCTATTGTTGTAATATTATGCAGTTTAGTGTCAATAATTGTATTGGCAATGTGGCCTCTTTCTGCACACATACAAACCAACCCCTGGCACCACCCTTGGCCACAGCTCCAATGGTTTAATGCTCAATGTCATGGACTTTCATGTGGGACAACAGGGTTCAAAACCCAGCTAAAGCAACTTTAACAGAAAATCTCTACAAACTTCATATTGTCACACAATTACCCTTATTAAAAACACCTGCTGACTTGGCAGGTGTTTGACTGATAAGAAGAAAACACTTTTGAACTTGGTCACAGTTCATTCTGCAAGTCCATTGCTGCAGGCAAAGCCATGCTGCAATGACATGCTACATGGCAATGCACACTTGTTTTTACATCGTAAAAACCCATGTCTAGTTACTATTGTGTTAGAACGAATGATGTCATGATGTCACGTGAGACGTGTTAAAACATGTTGGCTGCAGATTGCCTGTCGCTACACAGAACTGTGTCAGAGCTCGGCTGTGTCTCCATGTGCCAGTGTTTTGCCAGAGCTCCATCAGATGGTGCACGGTCTCAGATCCCGAGCAGAGGAAATGTCAGGCCATGTCTCAGTCCTTTTCCGAGGCCTCCATCCGTCCGTCCCTCCGCTGCGTTCAGGGGCCCACGATGGAGGGCTGTGTTCAGAAACTGCAGGTGGGATTTGATTTCAATAAAACACTTCTTGATTTGACTTTTTACATATTGTGAGTCCTCACCTTCCCCTAACTTGTAAGATGACACATTCATTGGTTTGTGTCTCTGCAGAAAAATGATGTGGATGCCTTGTCCATGTCTGCCCCAGACATCTACAACACAGCTAAAACCACCAGCTTCAGAATGGCTGCGACTGAATCGAAGGCTGGAGGTGAGACTGACCGTTTGTTTTAGCTGAGAACGTTTGATCGCTTGTTTCTCTTTTATAATAATCTTCAGAATACTCACAAACATCACCTGCGAGAAATCACAATCACTGTAATTTAAGATGTTATCTTATAAGTTGTTCATTTAAACTTTCCTCCCTTAAAACAGTCTCAATGTAAGGTAAGTTTTGTTTATCATCAGTGTGCATTGCCACTGCAATGCACACTATTGTGATCCATTCCCCATCCAAGTCATCCTCTATTTTGGCACGCTTCTCCTCCTACATACTTTGTCCTAGAGCTGCCATTGTAATTTGTATCTGTAAAGCTCCTGTGCCAAACGCAGGCTATGCTTTTTGGTGCCTGTACAACTTATAGTTTTTGAAATATTATTTTTTAAACTTTATTAATGGGTGTCAATAGAGCCTTGTATTGGTCCAATACTGCCCCTGATTTATGTGCTCGGCTTGGTACTGCACCATATTTTAATAATATTTAAACTCAGTACTTCAGTGATTACAATACTAATTTCTTTGTATTTTAATGTTTTACTACAACATTGTCTTGTAAGCATATACATCTTACATAATATTGCTTGATTGCTGTAATATACTGTATTGCAGTTTTGTGTCAACAATCATCATTGGCAATGTTGCCTCTTTATAAACACTGAAAAGTATACATACAACTAACTAAATATTGAACAAATAATACAGAAATACTATTAAAAGTAAAAGTAAGAGAGTTTTACTCACTTGTGAGTTGTAGTGAGTAGCTGCTGTTTTAAATTCTGAACTTTTTCATTTAGTGAGTTCCCACGCATTATCAACATGCATTATGGGAGATGTAGTTTATTGCTAATGCTGGCTTTACAGAAGCTTATTTTGAGACGTTATTACTGTGCTATCCAACTAAACTGCTCAGTTACTTAAAGCCAACAGCTCAAGGGCAGGACAAGAATTATTATCTTTCACTATTTAAATTTATTTATTTCGTTGCATTTAATATAAAAAAATAAGAGTTTACCATTGATATAAATACAATTTTCATGTTAAGTGCCTCCCTTGGCGGGCCAGACGGTAGTGACCCGTTGGCCACATTTGGCCTGCGGACCTTAACTTTGACATGTGTCATAGATGGTGTGAATAAAAGTACGCTTTGTGAAGGACTTTGTTTGACCTGATACACATGTTGCTTCTCATAAAAAACTAAACCATAGATTATCTTACCTCATTAAATTAATAAACACACACACACCCTCTGAACCTTTTACTTGCTTTTTTTTTCCCAACAAATTTTTCTTCATGGGTAGAATATGATCTGAAGGGAAAATTAAAGAGATTGGGCCCTTTTTTCTAACACCTTATGTGTTGAATAATTATTGTAGATACTGTACCATATCTTTTCTCCTTTTTAGCAGAAGAGATAATGAGTCGTGATGACCCACTTAATATATTACGGATAAAATGGAAATCGTTGATGTAAGCGCTTTCTAGTTAGACCTTTTCCTATTATCTCTGTCTTTGTGGAACATTTCCAAACTGGAGTTTGAAGCTGGACTTTGAGCTTTCAGTTCTTGTTTTCATTCCCTGATAATTAAAAGTGCAGAATTAATCCTACCTAAATGCTTGTTTTTCACCAGATACCAGCTCCTACTACGCAGTTGCCGTTGTGAAGACAAACTCCGGCATCAACATTCACAACCTGGCGGGAAAGAAGAGCTGCCACACGGGGAAAGGCCGGACCGCCGGCTGGATGATGCCTTTGGGTTACTTCATAGATCAGGGCTACATGTCTGTGATGGGCTGCAATATTCCACAGGGTAGGAGAAACAATGGCAATGCGATCCATTTAGTGAGGAAAAACTCATCAATATTTCCTGTTTTAAAGGGTTAAAATGACACATCTGCATCCATTTGTTCATCATCTGCATCACTGCTACATTTCATTTTAGGTGTTTGACTTGCTTGTCAGGTGTAAGTGCTCCAAAAGAAAAAAAAATATGTACAATAAATGCAATTTGAAAAGAAAAAAAATCTAATACATTATTTTTATAAAAAAGAAATATAGAAGAAATGATTAATTAAAAAAAACATTAAATTACATTAATACATTGTATGACCATGACGTACAAAGGAAACATTGAAGCATTGTGATTTATTGTAATTTTAATTTGTTTTTCCAGAGCCAGAAAGCAGTTCTGGTTTCACTGACAGTTTTTTAATCACCACTGACAGTTAAACCAATTTTGTGATTTAAAATTTATTTATTTAAAAGGGAACAGTGCAATTTAGTAAAAAACACATCTGGGTTAAAAATCAACATTTTTCATTTGTAGCCCCTTGGCCATGATGCTTAAAAAGCAATAAAATACAACAATAACACACAATTAATAAGAACAAGAAATTGGAACAAATCCAGACACACTAAAAAACAATACAGTACAAATATACAATACCACACATCTAATACAATTTCTATTTAGTGTTGACAGATTTATGAATCAACAACTTGTGGAGAATGTTTGTGTTACATTAACAAAAGCTGAGATATCTTCTGTTCAGATCTGGCTCATATTCGCTTGTGCACATTTTTTTAAAAGACTTTCATGCAAAGTTTTCATGCAGAGTCACAAAATCGCTAAATGGAAGATAAAATACCACTACTTTCTGTGCATATTCTTCTTTAAACATGTTTAGCATTTACATGACAAAAATAAATGAAAGTTTGTTCACTGATCAGGTGTTGCAAACTTCTTCAACGCGAGCTGCGTCCCTGGAGCCAACCAGGACGGTGACCCCGCTTCTCTGTGTGAGCTGTGCAGAGGAGACGCCAACGGACAGCACAAATGTGAGATGAGCAACAGTGAGATGTACTACAGCTACGAAGGAGCTTTCAGGTAATAAACGTTCAAACGGCACATTTAGGCAGGAAGATTAAGCCACAACCCTTTAACAGTCTTTGTTCCACCAGTGGGCAAAAAACCGGGCAGCTTTAAACATTTCCAGACACCACCAGGGGCTTTTATTTGAAAACTAGAGTGTCAGACAACTTCCTCTGGTTTTTACCCCTAGTTTGACACGCTTACAAACAATAAAAAATGTTGAAAGGCTTATAAGGAATTTCAGGGACTGTTAAGGGGTTAAAATTAGATGCAAAATATTTACTTTTTACAGGATTTTTTCCTGTTGTGTGTTCAGCTTTGTTTTACACAAAGTAACAGGTGTTACACCATATTTTGTGACCGTCATATATTGTGACCAAAGGGGGCGCTGTTGCATTTCTACAACTGAACTTGGCCGAACAAGGCCACAAAGCCAGAGGCTGAAGACATACGAAGAAAAAAACTAAATCTGTTGACTGTTGTTATTATACATGGTCACCGAATATTGTGACTTCACTATAGCTAAAGAAATAGTAAAAAAAAAATTATTCAAAAACTGTTTATACTAATTGTTTACATCCTCTAGTGTCAGAAAAATAACTTGATCACTGACATGGTGACTGTTATTAAATTAGTACAGGGTCACATAATATTATAGCTATTTTCATGTATAATAGTAATAATAATAGTAGTAATAGTAATAGTCAACATGCCAGTGATCAGAAGTTATTTTTCTGACATTAGAAGATGTATACAATGAGTAGAATCAGTTTATGAATAAATATTTTTATTATTTACCAAGCTACAGTGAGGTCACAAAATATGACAACAGTTGTCATATTTTGTGACCTCTGGGTTACACTTTTGGCGTATTATATTCTTCTTTGTGGCTATTTTCGGCCAAGTTCTGTTGTAGAAACGCAAACAGCTCTCTGATCACAATATACGATGGTCACAAAATATGGTGCAACACCTGTTTAGCATGAATGCCTTCAATTTAGAAACAAACAAAACTGTTGGGTTTTTGTTTTGTTCTTCTCAGATGTTTGGCTGAAAACGCAGGACAGGTGGCTTTCATCAAACACACAACAATCGGAGAAAACACTGATGGTGACGTCTTACACCTAATAACTACTTTAGTATTAAGTATTAATTAGTAACCTTTTCTTTCAGTTGTAGTCACAGAGGAACATCAACATGTCTTTATCTTCAGGTAGAGGCCCAGAATGGGCTAAGCCCCTGAAGTCTTCGGACTTTCAGCTGCTGTGTCGTGACGGCAGCACGGCTCCTGTCTCTCAGTGGAACCGGTGCCATCTCGTTCGTGTGCCGTTCCGCGGTGTCGCTGTTAGCAGCGCCATCACACCTTCTGTGGTGTTCAACATGCTGAGGGAAGGTCAGGTAGGTGCAAACAGAAGCATTCACTAAGCACCACCATGTTGGGTTTATCACCCCTGCTTTAGTCTCAGGCAGTGGTGGGCAGCACTAATCCAAAACTTAGCTCCGCAATTTCTAAAGCGCTCATAAAAAATATTTAGGTCCGCAACTTCAAAGCGCTTATGCCATAGAAAAAAATAGCGGAAGCCAACTTTAAAGCACAAGTTCAATTTGACACTTACTAGCCGGCAACAATTCATATACAATATATGCACAACACTGCCAACTAGCGGTGTATGATCTGTTTTTACAGCTTAATCCTAACCCTAACTGCCGATTGCTGGGGATGTGATTTCATGAAACAGACCTTTGGCTCCACGTGTAAAAATTAAAAAGCTGTCGAGGATTGCTAGTTCGGCTGCTTCTTTGTCTTTTTCGTTTGTTTGTTGTAGGTTTTTCATTAAAAAAGCATCACTAAAGTCATTTTAAAACAGTTTATTGGAAAACTGAAGTGATGCTTTTTGGGTACATGATGGATTTGATTTGTGACGGGAAACGAAAGCACGGTGTACAGGAAACTATCTTCACTTCAAAATAAGAGCTTAGATTTTTAAGTTTTCCATGTAGTTGCTCCAGTTGACCACTAGATGTCAGTTTAACCCCATTGGCCAATTGCTTCAACTAGTTACGTCAAGTATTGAGCTCCAGCGTTTAAAAAAATTTTTTAAAGGAGCTCCGATTGCAAAGTAACATAAATCAATACATACAAAATTTTAGTATGGATTACAAATGTTGTTTTTACTGGAACAGGGAGTTCTAAACAATGCCTTCCTGCTACATAAGCAGACAAAGCATTGTGGGAAATCAGAACCGTGACCGAAAGCAACAGTCAGTGTGGATGTATACGTTTCCAATAAGTGAGATTTTCTGGGAGGGGTGCTGTTGGACAAATCATGTGTGTTATGATTCATTGACAGTCATACCTTCAGCTGTTCAAGATAATGATGCATTTTAATTTTAAAAAGCACAAATCTGCATATGAATTATAAAAATTAGTAAGACCGCTGAAGTGTAAAAGAAATACATAGGTCTGCAATTAGCGGATTTGCACTTTAGCGGGCTGGTGTCTACCACTGGTCTCAGGTGTAAAAGACTGCTCTCCCAATGTGATCATGCATTCTCACTCATTCTTTGATTGATGCATATTCTAAGAGCAGCCTCTTTCTTTCAGGAAAAGTCTGGCTTCAACATGTTCTCGTCTGCTGATTATGGAGGAGGAACCGTTCTCTTCTCCGAATCAACCACCAGGTTCGAGAGCGTCGAGTCGGACGACCCAAAGAGGTGGATGGGGACCAACTACTACAACGCCATGAGGGCCATGGACTGTAAACCTGCAGGTGAAGCACAACTACAGCTAAACATGTCAGGCTGTTTAAAAGGTTTAGAAATGTTTTAGACTTCTGAATTTAACCGTAGATTTGGCATTTTCTGCAAAAAATGCAGCATGAATACTTAATGCTGAAAGAATTTTGCAGAAAAAAAAACAATACATACAAAAAAATTACAGTTTGTTGTAAAATAGCCAAAAGCTGAAAGTAGCACAAAGAAGCAGAAAGAGCGTTTGCTGAATTAAACAGTGAGTAGCGAAAATCCCAAAAAGGTGAAATTAACTGAAAATAGCTAAAAAGAACTCCTTTAAAAGTCAGCCCTGAAATTCCTTAAAAGCCTTTTGACTTTTTTTTTTATTTTACGTAAGGGTGTCAAGTTAAAGGTAAGAACCAGAGCATGTCTTCTAACGTCCTGCTTGTTAAGGGGTTAAATTGCAGAAAAAAGCTGAAAGAAGCACACAATGCTAATGCTACCCTTACTCTCTGGCGCTCAAGAGGTAGAGGAGCCAAATGACTGGCTCACTGATGCCAACTAGTGGTCAGAGGCTGAACTACAAAAAAAATGAACAGCTGGCAGGTAAGTTGAAGTTTTAAACCTTAATAAAAAATTGATACAGGGCTTTAGAATATCGATACAGTATCGGGAAATGAAATATCACGATATTTCAGTGTATCAATATTTTCTTACACCCCTACAAAGCTTATATTTAAAGAATCTAAGAAAAAAGAGCTAAAATTAGTTTAAAAAAAAGAAGCTGAAGGAAAGTAAAATTTGCACAAAATAAAGTTAAAAATTCATTCATTTTCAATTAAACAAAAACGGCTGAAAAGGCTAAATATGTCAGAAGGTCTAAATTGCTGAAATACTAAACATCACAGCTGAAATGTTGTGAAGGAGCTAAATGTTTTGACAAATGAATTGTTGAAATAGCACAAAGGTTGCAGAACGAAATAGATGCCGAGAAACTTACAGAAGACAAATGGATCATCTTTATAGTGTGAAACCTTTAACACGCAGTATAACACATAAAGTAAGCTTTTATGCAGAAATTAATTTCTGTCAAATAAAATCATCGTAAGAAAAGCTGTAGAACTAATTAACCACTAATCCTTCCTGCATCTTTATAACAGACATCCCCAGTTCCCTACGATGGTGCGTGCTGACCAGTCAAGAGCAGGAAAAGTGTGCCGACATGGGTGTGGCCTTTCAAAGTAAAGGCCTGACTCCCAGAATCACCTGTGTGTACGGAGACTCTTTGACCGACTGCATGAAGAGGATTAAGGTGACAGATGTTTAACTGCTGTTTCAGCTGAACAGATGCTACTTTATATTTAAATAGAAGGAAATTAGATCAAATAAACATGCATGGCCTCATGGAAAGTGTTTTTTTTTTTATTTGATTGGACTTATTATTTTTTTTACATTTGTGTAGAACAACGAGGCCGACGCAATCACCCTGGATGGAGGTTACATTTACACAGCAGGCAAAGACTACGGCTTGGTTCCTGCCGCTGCCGAGAGCTACACAGGTGAAAACAAACGTGCATGAGAACAAATCTGGGTTCCTCGTCTGGTTTTCGAGGCAACGCGATCTCGAACTGTATTTCAATTCTAGGTGACCGCGAGGGTTCCTCGTACTACGCTGTGGCGGTGGTGAAAAAGAGCAGCACTGACATCCGTAACCTCGATGACCTGCGTGGCCGTCTCTCCTGTCATACTGGATACGGTCGCACGGCTGGCTGGAACGTTCCGGTGTCAGCCCTGATGGAGAGGGGACTGATCCACCCTGAGCACTGTGAAATTCCACGAGGTTGGTGTGACCATGTGTGTGTGTGTGTGTGTGTGTGTGTGTGTGTGTGTGTGTGTGTGTGTGTGT